TATAACGACAAAGAGGGTGTATCTACTTCTAATCCATATTTACCAGATTTATTAGATTTAACTGTGCCGTGATCTCACGACGCGACTCCCCTACAATATTACTTGCTTTTGGAGTACATTGCGCTGAGCAGGTGTTTTTCAAGTTGTCCAAGTGAAGATAGAAGTAATACCTAATGAACCTTTCCGAAACATTCCACGTTCTAAGACAGGCCAATCACAGCACCAGCTCGTCTATTTTTTTTTTGTGTTACTAGGATTTTAAGGCCACAAGTGTGTAAAATTAATAGAAGCTTGATTTATAAAACTACTTTGAAAATTAGAATACAAAGTAGACAGCGCAAATAGTAAATTCTGGAATTTTTTGTTAAAACAGTTTCGAAAATTTCTATGTATATAAGTTATGAAATACTAACTATTTTGGAATGGTGCGAATAGTAATTCCTTAAAAACAAATATGTAATTTATATCTGGTAATATATATTTTTTATTTTATGTTAATTTCGAATTTGAAGAATATTAAAAGTTGCAACTTGGCACAAGTGATAACTAGTAAAGTTAAAACTAAAGGTGAAATCGCATTATAGTATTGCATTTTTATTTTCCACCCAACACACGGTCTAAATTGAATGCAGCTGTAACATATAAAAATAATAAATATATTAAGTATTTAATCACCTTAAAGAAAACATTAACGGATTCTTTTAAATTAATCCTACCACTAATAAGAGCAATATGAGTAAAAGCTTGAGGAAAATTTCCCAAATGCTCACCACCATTTGCAATTTCTTCACTATACAATCCTAAATGATTTCCATGTACAATCATTTGTTCAAATATAAATTCTGCTTTTTCTAGTAATTTTCGATCATATTTTCCAGCACGTGTTAATGCTTCGATTAACCAATATGTACACATTGAAAAGGCTCCTTCTTCTCCACTTAATCCTATACAAATGATGTAATATGAAAAATCTGAAGGAAATAAAATAATGAGATAAACATAAACTATAGTTACCGTCGTCCGTAGTATGATTGTTGTAGCGGAAAACAAGATTATTCACCGAAAGTCCACCTATTAAAATGCTAATAAATTATAATTCCCAAACGATAAAATAATACAACTATATATATATATACATATATATTTTATATTACCTTTTTCAGGCGGCAACTGAATCTCCTTAATAGTACTCAAAAATCTTGGATCAGTTGGACTAATAAAGAATACTAAAGGCATAATCAACACTGAAGAATCCAAAGAATCTAAGGCTTCATAAGATTGAGTGAAAATTTTTCTTTTAGGATTCCAAGCCTTAGTCATAATTTCTTCATAAATTGTGTCTCTAACTTGTAACCATCTATTCCTATCTGGACACGGGAATACACGTTTTTCTGATAATCGAATTCCTATTTAAAAGCAAATAAATAAATAAGTAAATCTGATTATTTTAATTATGACAAGAAAGAAATGTAAATTATAAACCTCGATCCACAGCAACCCAGCACATAATTTTGGAATAAGTAAAATTCTGTTTTCCGCCACGGACTTCCCAAATACTCATGTCATTAATCATCCAATTATCACATACATAGTTAACTAATTTACGT